TTAAACTGAAGTACACTTTTTTTCCATAGGAATTGGTGATGAACAGGATGTAACAGCACCAGTGTCGGGACATATTAAACAATTGCTGCCAGAATAAAGAGGAATGAATTCTTGGGAGGAGCAGAAGAGTTTCTCTGAAGTTGTGAACTTGGTGTGGCTGCAGGCTATTGGCCAGCAGTGATGTGTCCTTGTGTGGAAACTTGCATCCATACAGCTGTCCCAGAATCACATTTATTAAGGTCCTTTGTGCCCCAACTTGGGGCATTAAATTACCTAGCCAATCTAGGGAAAGTCATTAATTGCCAGCTGGTGCTCAGGGGCTGTAGGAAGAGACTGGTGCCTCTTGAACTGCTAGTTCCAAGACACAGCACAACAAAAATAATAAAGCCTAGACTGCATGCTAAGATCTGGAGGCATAGAATTCAGGGTAACAGTGATCCAGGCTTGGTTCATGACAAAGTGTGGCATCACCTATCATCCTCAGTATCTTTGCTGGTCTCTGCCTTAGCCAAGGACACTACAAGGAGCAGAAAAGTGTCTAAAGATGCACTTGAATGCAAGGTAGCTTTAGTGAACTGTTGCAGCTTTCCTGCAGACCCTGAACTGTGGGAGCTCCACCTCCCAGGTAAGATCATGCAACAACAACATCATAGGCACCACACCCACCTGGGATTAGGGGGGCCTGAAAATTTCCACTGTTATACCTTCCCTTCCCTTCACACCTGTGCTTAAAAGGAGGATTGGATTCCTAGGTTTCTGACAAGACCCTTGTTCTCCCACATTGACTGGAAATTGTCTCCTCAGATCTGCCAAGAAAATTTCCCCTGAGCCATGTGGCATTGTGTGTGCATGCAATGCCCTGTGACCTGTAAAACTGTGAGGTGTTTAGGACTTCCTGACTTCCCCTAGGCTGTGCCTGTCTGTCAAGTTGCTTTACCACAGGACTCCTCAGCAGGTCAGACCTATGTCTAGGGCAAGGGGTGGAAATATTTCTTCGTTTGTACCTTCTATTCCACCCTCTTGGAGTTCTACCTGGTTATATTGTGCATGTATAAATCATGATCAAAGTGAAGTTGATGCAGATATACTAATGTGCTTCTTTGCACCAACCAGAACTGTTATTCTGACTCTTATACCCATGGCCCATTTTTAGTAATACCAATAGCTTCCTCAATGTACGTTCATAACAAACATTTGTTGTTTCCTTCAAAGTTCAAAACTTATCTGACTCATTGGCACATGCATTTAATTCCAAGTCACTCAAGAGACAGAGGCAAGAGGCAAGTACCAGCAACTTAGTGAGATGGCCTCAAAACTAAAAATAAGCAAGACGTGCAGATGTAACTATATTATAGAATGACTCTGTGTTCTTTTTCCAGAACTATAAAATAAATAAGCTAATTAATTAAATTTAAAGGGTAAAAAATTTAAAAACTTACAAAAAGTTTAAGTGTTTGATTACATTAGACTACAAAACACTGGTACCACCTATTAATGATTCTCTGCTTACTCTTTTCCCTAGAGTGCTCACTGGAGGCTAGGGGAGCACCTATCTGGAGATCTACAAGCCATTTTCAAACTACATATATTTGGCCACGATGAGCACTGGCCCTGATGCTTTCAAACGAATAATGTAAACCTGGTAATGCTACAGGGAACAATTCCCAACACTCTGTCATCTTAGTAAGAACCTGCCTTTGGATCCCTCTGCCTCTTGTGATTCATTGCTTCTCATACAAGTTGTTTTCAAACTGCACATATTCAGTCAAACTATGTGGATAACCTACTAATCCAACACAAAGAATGTGAATCTGTTGCTGTAACAGGAAAAATGACCTCTCTGTGAATGAAAGTACCTGCCTTTGGGATCACCCAGCCAATACCCTTTCTTTGTGTGTGTTTGGGGTGAGGGGGATTACCAGGGATTGAATTTGGGGGCACCTGACCACTGAGCCACATCGCCAGTCCTATTCTGTGTTTTTTTATTGGTTGTTCAAAACGTTACAATGCTCTTGACATATTTCATACATTTGATTCAAGTGGGTTATGAACTCCCATTTTTACCACGTGTACAGATTGCAGATTCACATTGGTTACACATCCACGTTTATACATACTTCCATACTAGTGTCTGTTGTATTCTGCTGCCTTTCTTACCCCCTTCCTATCCCCCATCTCCTCCCTTCCCCTCCCATCACCTCTCTCTACCCCACCTACTGTAATTCATTTCTCTCTCTTTTTTTCTCCTTTGGCCTCACATCCTCTTATATGTAATTTTGTATAACAATGAGGGTCTCCTTCCATTTCCATGCAATTCCCCTTCTCTCTCCCATTTCCTCCCACCTCTCATCCCTGTTTAATGGTAATCTTCTTCTCATGCTCTTTCTCGCTCTCTGTTTTGAGTTACCCTCCTTATATCAAAGAAGATATTCGGCATTTGTATTTTAGGGATTGGCTAGCTTCACTTAACATAATATGCTCTAATGCCATCCATTTCCCTGCAAATGCCATGATTTTGTTATTTTTTAGTGCTGAGTAATATTCCATTGTGTATAAATGCCACGTTTTTTTTTAATCCATTCATCTATTGATGGGCATCTAGTTTGGTTACACATTCTACTATTGTGAATTGTTCTGCTATGAACATTGATGTAGCTGTATCCCTAAAGTATGTTCTTTTTAGGTCTTTGGGGAATAGTCCAAGAAGGGGTATAGCTGGGTCAAATGGAGGTTCCATTCCCAGATTTCCAAGGAATCTACATACTTCTTTCCAGGTTGGCTGCACCAATTTGCAGTCCCACCAGCAATGTATAAGTGTACCCTTTTCCCCACATCCTCGCCAGCACTTGTTGTTGTTTGACTTCATAATGGGTGCCATTCTTACTGGAGTGAGATGGTATCTTAGAGTGGTTTTAATTTGCATTTCTCTGATTGCTAGAGATGATGAGCATTTTTTTTCATGTATTTGTTGATTAATTGTATATCCTTCTCTGAGAAGTGTCTGTTGAGGTCCTTGGCCCATTTGTTGATTGAGTTATTTGTTTTCTTATTTTTAATTTTTTGAGTTCTTTGTATACTATGGATATTAGGGCTCTATCTGAAGTGTGAGAAATAAAAATTTTTACTCCTATTCTGTATTTTATTTAGAGATAGGATTTCACTGAGTTGCCTACAACTACTCCTATGTGCTGCCAGGTTCAAGGGAGCGTTGGAGCGTGGGTTTCCTCTGGCCTTTCCAACCTGTATGACCCCCTGCAAAATAGCCTCCATGCCAGAAATTCTCTGTGCCAGAAATTCTGCTGATTTGTTAGGCTCAGTTTAGAGCTCTTGGTTGGTGTCTGATGAATTCATGTATTGGACTTAGTGCCAAACTCATGGATCTAAGTTCCCAATCCAGGTTGGTGCTACTGTTGCATGGAGATACCAAAATGTCTCCATGCTGGGCTTAGACAGACCCAGCTCACTTTCATGCATTTCAGTGAGCCAAATAGCCTCTAGATAGGCTCAGTGCAGGCTTCCCCTCTGATCCTGGAATTTCCCATGCCAAGAATTCCCCAGCACTTTTTAATGTTTTTCCATTTTGTCTACTAATTTTCCTCACAATTTCCAGGGGCTCAGCTAAAATTCTCATCTTATCTTTGTCTGATGTACTGTCAGTTTCCCAGTCTTCAAGCTTATCTTTCCACTATTGAGTATCAGTCAAGTGCTTTTTTTCACTCCCCTCAGAGAGAAATAGTTTTTTCACTGAGTTCAGAGTCATAGAGCTGTGAGAAAAGTCACTTTCCACTAATCCCAATGGAATATTGCTCAGCCATAAAGAAGAATAAAATTATAGCATTTGCTGGCAAATGGATGGAACTAGAGAATATCATGGTAAGCAAAATAAGCAATCCTCATCCCCCTCCAAGAAAAGGCCTCATATTCTCTCTGTGGATACTAACATACAATAAGGAGCAGGGGGATGAAAGAATATAAGTTCAATTGATTAGACAAAGGGAAATAAAGTGAAGGGAGAATGGATGGGAATAGGAAAGACAATAGAATGGATCAGACATAACACTCCTATATTCATATATGAATATAAGACCAATGAATCTCTGTATCATGTCCAGTTGCAAGAATGGGATCCTAATTAGAATAAGTTATGCTTAATGTATGTATAATATATCAAAATAAAATCTACTGTCATGTATATCTAAAAGGAACGATTTTTTTAAATGAAAATAAATAAATAAATGGAAGGACAGTAGTGCTGGACAACAGGACTAAGGGGACAGAAGAAAGCATGAAAAAAGAAACTACTGAGTATTGAAATGGAGAAAACTACATGTATTTATGAAAATGTTAACCATGACCCCACCATTATTTATAACTGGAATGCACTAAAAAACAAAAACAGGTTCAGAATTTGTCATATTTTTTTTAAATCATTGAAATTCAATAGTAGTACATTTAACAAAAAAAATCTAAATTTATTAGAAGAACGTCAAATCTGTCAAATATGTATTCTATCTACAATAAATTATATAAATAAATTATTTAAGACATATTTAAATAAAAAACAAACTACACAAAGTATAGAAAATGTAATTAATTAAGAAAAATTAAAAATAAGCCGCTGAACCAGAAGTCTCCTGTCTATCAACCCACCCTCAGCATTGTTGCCTCTGATTCTGCAGCTGCCAGCCTGAGACCACCTGGAGGACTTCTTTCTGGGCTGCCGCAGAAGTCACTGACATTCCCAGAGGTCTCCTCTCTGTGCAAGGCCTCAGTTACCTCTGAGGTGAATTCCTTTGCTA